GATCCTGGGTAAGGGTGGGTGGCTGCACTCTCACCCCCCCACCCCCCACTCACCCACCTTGGTAGACTGTTCTCTAGCCTTGACCAAAGAAGTACAGCTCTGGGAAGGGGGGACGCAGCAGGGATAGAGGTTGGAATGCTGTCAGCGTGCCGGGGGTGATAGCAAAGAGGGGTTAAGATGGAGTTACGGTTAGGAGCCCATCTTTTGGAGGGGGGGAGATAGAGGCAGAGAGAGGGTGGGTCCTGGGCCCTGGCCACAGTTTCATCAGGGGTCTGGATTCTGTGCGTTTTTGAGTCAGATGCCCCAGGCCTCTGTCCTTACCTGCAGGCTGTGGGTCCTCCACCCTGTTCCTGCCTCTTCCCAGAAACCTCTGCTGCCTCCCAGCTGGCCTGCAGGGCCCACCTGGGGACGAGGGTGGGGACCACACTCAGGCTGTTTCTTAATTACTTGGAAACAAGGAGGCTAACAAGTAAGAGAGGAACAATTGCGAGGATGGTGCAGGGCCAGGCAGCGTTTTTTCTGTTGTGCATAGTGTGCTACGGGTCAGAACCGACTCACTATGCAACCACAAAGATGCAAAGGCTGGGAACCCGCCTGCCTGCCTACCCTCAGCATGCCCTGCCCCACTCCCACTTCTGGGGACTCCCACTCCCGGGTTTCCCCAAATCCACAGCCTGTGAATCCTGCAGCCCCCCTCTGCCTCCTCCCCCGGCAGAGAGATTCCACTACAGTGCTACCCAGCCGCCTGCCCCGCCTGCCCCCAGCTGAGTTGTGGTCAAACCTCTCTCTCAGATTCCAGCCTACCACTCTCTTCCCTGGAACTGGAGAGGAGGAGCAGCCTGGGGGGTGGGGGGTGGGGGTAGGCGTGGCCACAGCCTCTCTGGGGACAGGGAGGGGGGACAGGAGCTGCGGGCGCTCTAAGGCTGTGCAGGACTCTCTTCCCCAGCCCCCAGCTGTGTTAACAGGCCGCCTTTATGACCCCACTTTATGGGATAGAGACCCCAGCAGACTTCCCTCCATCCTCAAAATGTTTCCACAAGGAAACCCGTTAAGCTCCTGCCTTCATTTGCTGCCAAAAAAAGACCACATTTTTCACACCCCCTAAAACCCTTTCCCAGAAGGACTCAGTTACTTTTCTGGGCTTCCCCATGGGCAGGGCTCCTTCTCCCCCTTCAAGTGTGACCAGACCCACCTCCCTGCCAGACCAGGGCAACCCTCTTGTTCATATGACTGGACACTCGGCCACAGCTGTTCGAGTCAGCAGGTCCTCTCTGCTGCCTGCCTGTCACCACCCAGTTCATGGCGCCCAACCTTAACCCAGCCCTTGCTCTTTGCCCAGGACTTCAGAGGCCTGACAGCCCCCAATCCCAGCTCTGCCCCTGCAGAGAGCACTCCCTAAGATGCCAAACTCACTGCATCCAGTCGATTCCAACTCGTCAACCACCCTGTAGGTTTCTGGGACGACAATCCTTTAAGGGATTAGAGCGCCTCACCTTTCTCCCACAGAGCAGCTGGTGGTTTCAAACCGCTGACCTTCAGGTTAGCAAACCAACGCTCCTATCATCCCCTATTGCACAGCATTGGGAAAGGAAGCTCCCAGAGGTTAACTAAAACACCCAGACGCATACCAGCTAAGTGAGGAAGCCAGACTGGACCCCCGATCCGCCTGACCTGGCACCTGCCATCTCTCTCCCTCGGGCCCTTCTCTCAAGGTTCTTTCTCTCCCTTGCCCAAACTCAGTTCCTTCCCCTTGCATCTCTCTCTAGATGGTCCTTCTTGATTCCCCCTGCACAAGATAGTGGTCGTGTGCCCACCTGGTCCCTCAGTACATCACAGAGGCCTCTACCTACCCCATGACCCCGTGGGACCCCAGTTTCTACTTGTCTCTACATTCTAAGCAACTCCACCATCTCTGGTTCTCAGCTGCTTAAGTCCAACTTCTTTGGCTGCATCCTCGTGGGTGCTGATTGGTGCACACGGGAGCTCTCTGCCCTGGGCTGGCAGGGATGGGTTGCTCAGTGCCCCCACCCAGCTCCCTGCATGAGGAGGCGAGGACCAAGGCACCCCAGCCCTCCCCTGATTCAGAAGCTCACATGTGTTCATTAAGAGCCCGTGAGTCAAGCCCTCGCTGGGAAATCTCCCAGGTGAAGGGCAGAGGACTGTATCTGCAGATCTTTCTTACATTCTGGCTTCCGTCCCTCCTGCCGCCCTTGAACTTTCTTGCTTGGAGTTCAATCCGCACCCTTAAGAGCCAAGCCCTTTAGCAGCTTGGGGAAGCTCCATGGGTGGGAACTTCTGTCACCTAACCATTGTCCCTCGGTTCAGGCTCCGCCTGAGCCCCAACCTGTTCTGGACCGGGCGGAAGGACCTCGGAGGCGCGTGACTCCTTAGGGGAAGGCCCGCTGCCTGGGCTGGCTACCCAGCCCAGCTCTGGCCCTGGGGGGAAGGCTGGGTAGGAATTACGCTCAGATTATTTCTTAATCATTCTGGGAACGAGAGTACAGGGCTGGGAACACTCTAAGAGAATTTGCTGGAAATTTTACTGGCACCAACTGGGCTACCCTGGGTAGCCTGAAGGCTGGCCCTTCCAGACTCCGCCCACGCCCTCCCCAAGCGGCTGCCTTGGGGACCAGGGACCCTAAGTCAGAGTGTGGGAGTCACTGTAGGGATGAGATGGAGAAAGCTGCGCCCTGGTGGTGGTGAGGGGGACACTCCAGCCCCTGCGCTGGCACGCGGGCATCCCTGGAGGAGGTACCCAGGCGTCAAGGACTAACCGCTGCGCCCTCGCCTGCCCCTCTGCCCTCAGGCGTGACCTTCTCGGACGTGGTGAGCGCCACGGAGTCGTGCAAGCCCTGCACGCAGTGCGTGGGCCTCCAGAGCATGTCGGCGCCCTGCGTGGAGGCGGA